ACGCTTACGAGGACTACCTCCAACGCCATCAAAGGAGGGAGTACGTGCGAAGGGAGCACGTGCCGTTCCTGGGGACGCGATTTCGTACATTTGATGAATATCTCGTGGTGTCTAACCCCCATAATTTCTCACATTACGTAAGGGTAAGCCCGTCCGAGTTCCAGGAGCTATATGAGCGTTTAGCGCCTAAGCTGACACATCCGAAAAACCACGTTTCCCCCATAACAGGACGTGAGCGTCTCTTCATCTTCTTGAGGTGTTACTTAATTAGCAGACAAAAACGTGCCTCCTTTAATCTACAGGTTTAAGATACGTTGGGCATGGCTATAATTTCGGTGCTCTAGGCGAAGAAACGCACTGTGGAAAGTCGACGATAAGTTCAATTGTATATGAGGTTGCGGACGCTATAAGCGATTCTTCCATACATGTCTGACCTCAGTCACTGCAACAGTGTACAGTGGTTATTTCGCAATCTCCACTCCGAAGACGAGAACCTATCAGAACTGCCACCCACAGTTGCAATCATGCCCCTTCAATCGTAGTCCCAGAACAACTCGGTCCCATGCGTTCTTACGGCGGTCTTGTAGTTTGTAGTCATCGTGAGTGACATTCCATATGCTGGGTTCATTTTCCACCAACCCAATTAGTTGTATTCGGAAAAGGTCTTTCGATACCATTTCGCTCTGAACGAATTATTTTCACACGTAATAATGTAACTGCTTATTGAATTTTTTTTTACTTTCAGGTTTTGGTCGCTCGCTTGTACGCTATCGAACAATGACTTCATGAAGTAACATCTATCAACATCTCACGCACTTCATTTTTCTCACACCATGCGTTAATTATCCACCCCTAGTCCTCTTCCCTGACTTTTGTCTTAGATATTACAGTGCGTTTCACAACTATAAAGGCAACCTTGAAACAGCTTTCCTAAGTTAAGATCGAGATAAAGTTCATTCAGTTTAATATAGCACGCTCCAGATCTACTGTAGGTTTTATTCCGGAACGAAATATACCCACCAACACGACAACTGAACTAATGTTTTGGAGCATGCTCATGGTAAGCATGATGGTAAAACGTTAAAAGAAAAAATATTGTGCTTCACTTCTCACTCAAACAAGTAAACATAGCATCTCACAAGTAAACATTCGATTATATGATGTACATTATCCAGTGAGAGACTTACCTCAAAAGGGCACTGCAATCTCTACAACGAACAACGACAACAAATGAGCCTGTAAAGTAAACATTCGATTATATGATGTACATTATCCAGTGAGAGACTTACCTCAAAAGGGCACTGCAATCTCTACAACGAACAACGACAATACTGAGCCTCTAAGGAGCCGTTTTAAAATGAGCCTGTAAAGTAAACATTCGATTATATGATGTACATTATCCAGTGAGAGACTTACCTCAAAAGGGCACTGCAATCTCTACAACGAACAACGACAACAAATGAGCCTGTAAAGTAAACATTCGATTATATGATGTACATTATCCAGTGAAGAGACTTACCTCAAAAGGGCACTGCAATCTCTACAACGAACAACGACAACAAATGAGCCTGTAAAGTAAACATTCGATTATATGATGTACATTATCCAGTGAAGAGACTCATCTCCAAGATAAGTGAACAAAAGTCCTAGCAGGCGCCCGCCACGGAATGGAGCCAATTGAACCCACTGGCCGAACCGAGTCGCGTCGACCACGTTCCGGGTCGCCTGCGCGGATGTCGGACAGGCGGGCCTACCGCGCCGCTTCGTTCTGACGTTTTTTCGTCCGTCCGTTTCGTGAAATCGATACCTACGAAATTGCTGACCGACGTTCGCCTACTCCGGGCGTTTCGCTTACGCGTTTCCCTATTTCCCAATCGATGCGTATCTAAACCTTGGCGGACACTACGTTTCTTTTCGCCTGCGCGTTTCTCTCTCCGCGTGAGCGAACACTCTGAACAGGGCCTAACGGCGATAAGCAGCTTGCCTGTCCTTCTTCCGGAGGTTGATCGGTGCTCGACACTGATAGGCTTGATGATTCCTGTTCCCACAATTGTAGCACGGACCAGGGGCGAGAGGACGCGCCGGTGTGGTAGACGACGATTGTTGTTGCTGCTGTTGCAGATTGCGAGCCTGAAATGGACGACGCTGGTTATTGTCAAGGCGAGGCCTGTAATTCTGGAAATTACCTTGGGGTTGAGGTCTGTTGAAGACCCTATCTCTGTTACTCACCCCTCCCTCGAGAGCGTTAACAGCCGGTTCCACTCGCCCTGGATGGATGAGGCGGTCCGCGGTGGCGTCCGAGAGCAACTGTTCCACCATCTGAGCCTTAGTGACAGCCTGCTCCAAAGTAGGGGGTTATCTAACTTAACAAAATAGCGGATAACACCCCGGAGACGAGAAACGAACTCCTCCAACACACGATCCTTCTGAGTAGCCGAATCCTGGCCAGCTGTTGCAGCCCTAACTAGATTGAGGACCCTATTAGCAAATGCTGAGGATGACTCCGCGGGCTCCTGCCTACAGGAGGACAACTTTTGACGAGCCACATATCTCTGTTGGGGACTCTCGAAAAAGCCCCGAAGATGGGCGGCGATGAGGTCAAAATCCTTCTGGCCTCCTCATTAAGCTCCTCTACTTTCTCCCGAGCCACCCCATCTAAGTGACCTATCAAAAGTTGGCCTTTTGTTCGCTGGACAATGGAGAAGGTCGCATACGAATGATATCATCAAGCCTACGTAGCCAAACCGAAAACTGCATACCTCCTCTCGGCAGACCCCGAGAAGGGAACCCACCTTAAGGGTCTGAGGTTTAGGACCCAACATGGCTATGGAAGGAAGGGAATCCAACCGACTGCCGACTGCCGAGAAAGACTCATTCAACTTACGAGACAACGACGTGTTACCCTCGTTGACCTTTGCGCCACGCGCGAGGGTCTAGCAACCAAGCGTCCTTCCACACACATGGGTGATGGCGGCCGAAGTGGCATCCCGTAGAACCTTGGCATCCTTGGCATGAAGCACCGCCGAGTCATCCAACCTGGAGAGAGACATCCAACGACGCCGTAAGCGTCCCGGAGTCAAACTCATGATGAGGAGCATCAGCTCCAACCTCTGACAAAATCTCTACTCACATGTTCATGATAAGGGGCAGCAGCCCCGGGAAGTGAGGGGGAGAAGCAGATCCCGACGACGATGCCGCAGAAGCCAACGCAGCTTGACTACGTGTGGTCGGCATGTCCGGTGATAGAATAACAGCGACGAACAGCTACAGTCAGGAGACGAACTGACGAGTGATGAGACCCCCTAAGTGCAAGGGCTTTTAAGGGGATTAAAGGGGCGGAGCATACAGTACCCTGAGGAGGTTGAGGGGTCAGAGGAGAAGAGGTCGCTCGGCCAGAGAAAAAAAGATCAACGTCCGATATCCTACGATCTTCTATGAACGCGTGCCGATCATAACAAAGCCTGCGTGCCGATCCCTTATCATGCGAGCGAGCTCGCTAGCCCCTTGATGTTGCGCGAGCTTGCGAGGAATTGCGGCGGAGTTGAGAGCGATGTTTATGTTAAAACAGCGCGGGCGAAGCCTCGATGAAACCGATAACATGTGAGAACAAGCGCTTTGTTCTCGCTTCGCCGGTTTATTTTGGGAGCGGCTCCCCCAGGTGATACAGCATGCCGCAGGTGAGCCGACCCTTGTTCGCGTAAAAAGTGAATTTATTCAAATCGATAAGACGAGAAAAAGGATCACCCCCCCCCCGCCCCCCCAAATAAATCGAAATAATACGCAAGACCGATGGATAGGAAGAAAAAAAGGAGGGAAAGACCACATGAATTTAGCGTATAGCAAACCAGACAATGTGATGAGGAGCAATGATAAAAATGACATGCATGTTGACGTGTGAAAACTTGTTACAATACGTGGGCCATTATCGGCGATTCTCCTAACAAGAATAACAGGTCGGACCGTTTATATGCAAGAGAAACTGTGATTAATTGCACCTTCCACAAAAGGGCCAACTTTTACTTCCGCGGTTATATATACATATGCGCCGCCAGATATGGCTAAATGATGCTCCTCACAAAGATCAGCTAAGTGTCAGATGGCCCGCGATGAATAACAACGGAGAATTAGAACGTGTTCATGATTAAGGCCATCATCAGGCCCCGGGGCAAACTTTAGATTCTATGCGCGCTCCAAAGAAAGAAAAAATGTAAAGAAATGGATTTGGGACCGAAGAAAAAGAGTTCATGACGAGGAGCTTTTTATGGAAAGGGCTTGCAGATGGCCGTTCTTCTCCTCAAAAGGAAGACAAAGAAGGAGCGCAAAACGGGAACGCAAGCAAAGACACGGAGCATCTGCGTCAAAAGTTAAATCGTCCCAAAAGTAGCCGCTGCAGCTGGTTCAGATAGAGAAAGAAAAACCGGGGAGGAATCTGCTAAAACTCAACTGGACACGACTGAGAAAAGGAGGAAGTTCAAATTCATGACATGGAGAGAGTAATTTTCAAAATCCGGAAAATATTGCCAAAATCAAGGTATAATATTTGAGCAAGGAAAAAAGGTGGGAGTGGAAGGGATTGAATAGAAAAAACATCGCATAATTGGGATCATGACCACCCTCTGTCGTGCCAATCGAATTTTCGCGCAATTCTCCCGGGGGGTCCACCTAGGTGACGAAAGTAATAGAACGTTCAAAAAGGGTGCAAGGAAGAAAAACGGGGTGCTATTGAGTAAAAGAATAAGGAGATGTATCAAAAGAAAAACTCGAATCGACGCCAACCCTGGCCTCCCAGCATATGCTGGGCTGCCTGGTATAATGAGTTGATCAAGTTCATTTTACCGTTAAGGCCCAGCAGAGCCGATAAAACGAAAAACCCACCTGTCTCCTCCTGTGTCTAACTGCTACCAGTAAGAGTGCGCAACTTAACCATCGCACCTTCAGAGTACTTCTGCCAAATCGAATAGAATAAAGTCAGTTTTATTGACAGTGTAACTCTGACTTTGATCAGTCCAGGTCGATAATCCTTCAGTGGAGGCGACGGGCCCAGAGGCGACATCAGGAAGAGGCGAGGTGGCGACGAGGAGGCGAGGGACGGCGGCTGGTCGAGCGGTCGACGGAGATCTCTCTCTTGGTCATCGTGCCCGAGCCTTAAGTATGAAGCATGAGATGAGTCAGATACCGTATGCCCTCGCTCTCTCTGCCTCTCGTCCCGGCGTACTCTCTCGTGGTAGACGGTTACTTCTAAGGGGAACCCGCCCAAGAAAGGGAAGAAAAGAGCAAAAGATTAGGGGAGTTTACTAGTTTAACTACTACAACCATAATTAGTATTTTATATAATAATTAGTATTTATCGCTCTTTCACGCTCTCTTTCACTCTCTTACACTTGAAACCAATTCAGAATGGCCTCTTTGTGCACGAATCATCTAAACCTAAACAGTACTACGGTTAATCAGCTTACTCGGAGTTTTCCGCTGCAGTTTCATTTCTCATCCTTTTTAGTTATTTTGCCACCGTCTGCCACTTCACTAACTTGTTCGGTGCTATATTCTCGAATTCACCCCTCTTCTGAGTTTTTTGGTGAAATTCTATGTCCTGCATCACCTTTTTGAGAATGACATTCATCAGTAATTATTACTAGAGGAGACAATAAAACGTGCAATGTTGCACATGATATGCCTAAGGGACTCGCAAGGACACAGAGATTGGGATGAGATATGCTTTTGGCAAAGTAGAACTGAATCACAAGTGTAGAAAACAGGGATCTTTTCTGTTTTCAATTACCCCAACAAGGGGATCGCTCAGTGGTATGGGATTTGATTGATGAGAGAACATCAAAGATAACACATTCAAGTGACAGAAGACGAATAACTCGGTTAGGAGAGTCCAATCAGATTAGAAAAACGAGCTGCTGTTGTCTCGAACGCTTTGGGTCTTTTCCAACAGGGGCATGTGGTGCGGTTTTTGTGTGCTGCGTACAGTGCAGGGGAAATCCTCAAGGTGCGTGAGTCATTCCCCTTCCATTTTAACATCCGCAGAGCTCCTCACCCTACAAAATTTCTTTGTGGTCAGAATAGCACGCCGAGACCATTTCATTTTGCAAATACCATACCAGTTCAAACCTGAAGCATGCTATTAGGGACCCGTGGGGCATTCCATTGAATCCCACGGGACTAAAGTTCTGCGCTGGGAGGGAACCTGATTCCACATCAAACCACGTGAATAGCAACGGATTTAAAGGGATCACAGTGATTGGATGCAGTGGGTCCCCAGCTGAATGCGCCATGATAAGGAGTTGGCAATGTTGCCAATCAGCAGGAGGTTGTACAAAATCATTGTTCCGAGAAGAGTCGAGAGATGGTGAAAATGGGGAGGCTCTGAACCAGGGTCAACCCTACGTTGTTACGAGTAACAACGGGGGGTCGTACTCAGTTGAGCTTGGAGGGAGGGGGGGGGTCGTACCCTCTCGGTGGCCGACAGTGGGATTCTTGGTAATATCGGATAATAGCCAGCACGTTACGTTTTCGTAAGATGACTGATACTAGAGCATCTATAAACCACGCTTCCCTCTAAATGAGCTTTCAAATGAATCAGCGAATTAGAAGGGCGCCCGAGGCGTGGCGCGCACCAAGGCAAGGGATGTAGTGCAAGCGCATGCTCGAAGCTTCTAGCACATCCTAAGTTAAACATAAAACATGGTCTTCCAAGAAGTTACGGGCAGTGAAACCTAAGAAAACCCGCGTTTTCGGGAAAATGGCTTGAAGAATACCCCTCAAAAAAGTAACAACGGGATTTTTGAACTGCTGACTTTTCAGGAACGTTTTGGTGCTCGTTAGAAAGCTTGAATCCTGTAGTTTATTATACCGTGTTCAGCTTCCCAAATGAATGACTTTGAAGGAAGTTATGATCGTTTGAAGGTCAAAAAGTCGCGGTTCCAAAAAAATAGTAACGCAAACCCCCAAAAAAGTAACAACGGGACTAATTTTTGAACTACTGATCTTTCAGGAACGCTTGGGTGCTCGTTAGAAAGCTTGAATCCTGTAGTTTATTATAGCTTCCCAAATGAATGACTTTGAAGGAAGTTATGATCGTTTGAAGGTCAAAAAGTCGCCTTTGCACAGAAAAAAGTAACAACGTACTAAATTTTTATTAAATTAACTTTCGAAAAATTTCTACCCATGGTTGGAGAGAGAATAATTTGAATTTTCCAAATCAAATCACTTCGGCGCAGAAGCTCGAATATGAAGGAAGTTATAGCCTCAGAAAGAGGGGTGTAAAAATTGTGTTGCAAGGAACGTGAAGGATTTCAGCATTTCAATTGGAGCGATAATTTTTTCTGACTTCTCATAAGTTTTTATCAGGTAATTTCAATATTCCGGTCACTGGTTCAGTTTATTTCATCTCCTAGTTTGGTAACCCTTTGGAAGTACACGGATATTTCTTTGAATGCATCTCATTTTTTCGTGTTTGGAAGCAGCGATGAATATCTGTCGTGGATTTTGCTAAAGTTTCATCTTTGATGACTTACGTAGAAATAAATATTGATGGTAAACACTGTCTCTACACAAGTGTCACATACAAGGGGGTCGTATCAAATCACCCATGAAGGGGGGGGGGTCGTAAAAAATTTCCAAAGAGTAACAACGATAGGGTTGACCCTGCTGGCAGTTCAGGTCTACTGCTGGTGCGCTCTATTGCAGACCGATCAAGCACGATAATCTATTCGTTCGCTGATCCGGACGAGTAACTGCGTCGAGATTATGTGAGCGGTTGTGTGGCAACTAAGCCATGCACCCAATGGCAATGTGGACGCCGCCATGATGCGTCGGACGCATAGTCGGTCGGACGACAGCAACGACTGCTGCTGTCGGACGACAGCAACGACTGCAGGTGTCGCATAAACCGCGGTCGCAAATGGAAGGCGACGCGGTCACCCAATGCAAACCCAGACAACACGTGACTGCGCGTGATCGTATTTCGAAAGTCCCACTGTAGTGTGGAATAGTAGCTGCGTATTGATCTGCGACACTTGCGCGTCGTCCGACTGCAAGTGTCGCAGATTGATACGACCCAATACTGTGCGACACTTGCAGTCGTTGCTGTCGTCCGACCGGAGCTATTTGCGGTCCGGACCTATGACCTCCATATGACCTGCTCTGTAGCCGCCTTGTACTGTGTTTGTACGTACACTTCACTCGAAGCGTGTATGCTTTTTATTTGACGCCTAAACGGGCTGCGTTGGAGCTTCGTAGTTAGTTAACATCGTGTCATGTGCGACGGTATTAGATTTACCAGTAAGACTTTCCATTTGGAGGACGGCATGTTAGCAGCAGTCCTTGCAGCCTGCAATATTTCCAACTTTTGCAGGCAGGAAAAATAACCTGAGATTGGTATAGTTTTGCTTCGCCCGGCACCCATCGGTGCTTAGCCTTCTGTGAAATTCGAAGGCGACACGAATGGCTGTACCTAATGCACACTTTATTGGAATGGATTCCATTTTTCCCTATTTTCCATAGCAAAATCATGTCGCTGCACTGCTGGTGGAACTCTCTTCGGCTTGTTCTTGTGTAGAATTATTGCCCCTGCATTTTTATGAATTCTAATGTAGTAATAGTGCAAGTTGGTGACCGCTTCTTGTTCTTCTTTCCTGTTTTTATTCAAAGTGTTACCTGAGGAAATGATTGGTTGCTTCATAGAATACTTTTTGTTTTCATCAGTTGTTGTTACTGAGTTGGAAGGACAGCGAGTTGCTTTTTTTACTTTGAAATGTAGATATAGGCCACAGCTAAGAATAGTAAATACTTACTGCTTTTTCAGGATGTCGAACGAGTGGAGCAACGATTGGGGCGACAGTTCTCAAACAACGCAACGACATGGCTATCAACAGCAACCACCTCAATTTCAAGCATATGGGTAGCAGTTGAGCTTACTGTTATCTTAGAGTTCGTGTACAGCTCCTTGGAAAATACTACATTCAGCGGCTACTCCGAGCCCGCCACAGGATACTACCAACCAAGTCAAGGTCAACCAGTGGCTCCGCAGCAAAATTACGGCGATTATTATGGGCAGCAACAATCTTCTAACATCGGTAAGTTCGAGGTTATGTTGTTTCTTTGGGACATCATAGTGAGTTTCATAAATTTTGGATTTCTTCAGGATATGGATTCCCAAGTTCGCCTCAGGATTTCATGTCGGATCCGATGATGAAGGCTGCACAGCACTTTGGGGGACAGTTTGCTGAACAGCAAAAAGAAAAGGTTAGTCAAATCGTGCCATTCTATTTGTATATCATATCTAAATATTTTCCAACGAATAGTCGCCAAAATGCACTAAGGCCAAGGAGGTCGGGATCAAGTGAGGGCTAGGTGGTTTGCGCAGACCGTGCGGAGGATGCGAAATGGAGCGTCAGTGTTAATGAAAAAAAGGGGATGAAACGTTGACAAGGTTTGAATACAAAACCCCGTTTCAAGCAACGAAAGAAGTGGATTTGTTAAAAAGGCACATGCCGTGTCTGCGGGTATTTGCTGGTATGCCAATATGCTGACCAGGTTTTCAAACGTCCGTTGGACACACTTGGAAAACTTGTACCAACCCACGCATTTGACGAGTTTGATACAAAGACACCGCCTCTAAAACACTTAGTGTGTTCGATACACTTTGAAATTTGGTGTGGGTGATAACTACTAGATTCGTACTCGGTGTGGTTCATTAGACAAAAAGCGACTCTTTCGTGTTTCGTGGCGCAAACCATTTCTCGCTGCGAGGGAATTCAGGTCCATCTGATTTTTCGCTGCGGGAACCTCGGGTCCACTGATGATCAGAGGTGGACCTGAGGTTCCCGCAGTGAAAAATGTTCCGCGCTGCAGAGCGCGAAAAAGTCGCTTTCTGTCCTAGTGAACCACACCCTCGTACTACTACTTCGGGCGTTACACGAAAATTGAGCGCGGGTTCGCGTTGCGTTTGCATTAGCGCGCACAATCTTCCCCTCGGGAATAAACTAGAAGTTAGAGCTTTCTAACGAATACTTGAACTCTTTTCAAAATTGAAGTCAAAAATCGCCCCGTTGGACCGTTTTGGGGAAATCGCGGACCGATTTTTCGCAGAGCGCTGGTTTTTTGGCTTTGAACTGTTATAACTTTCTTCAGATCAACTTTTTGCAATTCTTGTCCTCCTGGAAAGAAACTAGAAGATTAAAGCTTTCTAATGAATACTTGAACCTCGTTTCCAACAATGGACGGTTCCAAAAAACAGTCCCGTGGGGCACCGTTTTTTGCCATGAATTTCCGGAGCTGCTCTCCTTAAAAGAAAGGTTTCCAACAGCTCAACACTATCAGCCGGGCTGTCAAACTCAATTGTTATGGGATCAATCGAGAGTAACATGACACCGCCACAAATCTGCTGTTCATAGAGAAACTGAACGACATTCAGTAACGTTGACGGACAGGCAAACATTTTTTCCGGAACTTTTCTTGTGAGCCTTTAGCAGTCGGTCTACCAAGTGGTCATTGCTTACTAACTCAGATCCAAATGAAGAAATTGGTTCACCTCGCGAGCATATTTGTGTACGTGAACAGTCAGATATGGACAGTTCTGCAGTAGACTGTTCTGCTCTGAGGTGCGCCATGCACTCGTTCGTGGTTAATAGATGGAAAGTCACTCCTCGAAAGTTATGCCTCCCACCTACGTCTTGCGATACTGACCTTGCGAATACGCGCCGCCCCCCTTCTGACTTATGATCCAACGGGACGTGGACCCTGTTGCTGACCTGCAGCGTCTACGTCATGTTTAACACCACACTATCAACAGCTTTCACCCTATGGAGCCAAGCACTAACCTTCGCAGTCGACGCTAACCATAGATCTGAATACTACGCCGTGGGCGACATTCCCGTGCGGTTTCAAGTCACGGTGACGTTAATGCTCTGGCACTTGAGCTAGCCACAGTTTCCATGGAGAGAGTTCTCTCACTGCCTTAACCAGACCCTTCCTTCCAAGTTTACTGATGTTGTTGATTTTGTCCTTCATTGTTCAAGCAGTACGAAGAAAATTCATAAGAACTTGAGCGGTATACGTTTTGAATGCGTGGAATCTTGTGACGGGGCTGGGTGGCACTCATCTTGCTATAAAATTCTGCCAAACTTTGCAACCCTTCACAGCATGAGACTATTAAAATTGCAGCAGAATGCCGTGTTTTCTTCTGCAATGCTTTGCCTTTATTCTAATGACTCTCATTCGACTTCACCAATTTGTCGTTTTCTACAAGTCCCTTGCCAAGTAAGCTACATGCCTAAGGCTGAGCTAATATTAATTGCGAGCTCGTTTTTGTTTTTTATTGCTGTCGGAAAATCGAACCACAATTCACAAATTGAGTGTATGGGTAGATTGAGCATTCACTAAGATTGCAGTCAAGAATACATCACGGAATTCCATAAGGGTCATGTTTATGTATTTTCTGAGGGGGACAGCCCACCTTTATTGGTTGTATGGCCATGAAATCTATTAGAATACGATATTTCTTCCATTTATCTTATCAATTTGGAGCGGTTGTGGTAGTCTAGATCCAAAGCTCGTAATAAACCGCAGAGCGGTTTTATAATTCAATCTTCAGATATCCAAGTACCTGAACACCTTCAATCTCAAATATTATTTCTCTGTTGATAATTCTTATGTTGGAAAGAAGCTCGGAATTTTGTTATTCCCTTTCTTCCATCGTGTAAGTCTTCATTTTTGTACTGTTGGAATTCGTAAGATTCATTTTAATTGTTCAGGACTGGTCTTTAAAGTATGCTGGTTCTGACGAGCCCGTGCCAGCTAAAGATGATGTTAATGCTCCCGATTTATACATACCATTAATGGCATTCATAACATATGTAATAGTTTCAGGATTTGTTCTAGGAACACAAGGGCGGTGAGTTTTCTCAGTCATTCTCAAAAATCTTCTTAGTGTGTTATGTTGTCTACGTTTTTGCTCTATACAGTGCGTTTCAAAAGTATGTGCACACCCTCAAAATTCACGTTTGAAAGGGAACCATGAGGTTTCGTGCTATGAAATCCTTCTCAATCGATTTCTCGTAGTCGATAACCTATCAATGGAAGCAAAGCAGATAATATCGCCTCACTTTCGGAAAAATTTTTGGATGAAATTTTTTTCTTTGTTTCAAAAGTATGTGCACACTTGAAGAAGATCAGATTTTGGCGCCGAATTTTCCACCGATTTCAATCCGACTTTGCTGTTTTCATTTCGTCAT